ATATTAAAGATTATTCCTCTCTCATGTTTTCAATTCCATTTTTCACATATTTATCCAGTTGCTCCAGAGCCTTTGATTGTAAAAATTTTCCTTTCCTCACTGAATTGCATTAGCACATGTCAACATTCAATCAAACACGTACTGTGGATCTATCACTAAACACTTGTTTTATTTTACTTATTTGTTTATCCTTATGTCACTATCACATTATCTTAATAACTGTAGCTTTCTAGTAAATATTTAAATCAGGTTCCATAAGTCCTCCAACTTTGTATTTTCAATGTTGTCTTTGCAAGTAGGAGTCCTTTGCATTTCAATATAAATTTGTTTTTGGGTTTTGTTTGTTTTGTTTTGTTTTTTTGGTACCAGGGATCGAACTCAGGTCCTTGTGCTTGCAAGGAAGGCAGTGGAACCACTAAGCTAAATCCCTGGACCTCAATATAAATTTTATTTATTTGTTTTTGATGCTAGGGATTGAACTCAGTGCTTTATGCATGCTAAGTTCTACCACTGAGCTATACCCCAACCCCATCAATAGAAATTTTAGAATCAGCCAATTTCTGCTAAAAGGCATGTTGGAATTTTGATTGAGTTACACAGAATGTATAGAACATTAATGAGAAGAAATGATACCATAAAGTATTGAGTCTTCCAATCCATGAATATAGTCTCTCCACCTCCCTTCATTTCTTTCCCAATGTTTTCTAGTTTTTAGTTATAGAAGTCAGATATTTGATTTTGTGGTGCCATTATAAATAGTATTTTTAAATTTCATTTTAATTATCTGATGGTAGCAATTTGTGATAGGCAGAATAGTGCCAGCCTCAAAGATGCCCATGTTCTAATAATCCCTAGAATCTGTTACATGTTATATTATAAGACAAAGGAGAATTAAGGCTACAGATAGAAGTAAGATTGCTAATCAACTCTCCTTAAAGAGATTATCCTGATTTATCCAGATGAGCCCAATGTAATTAAAAAAGTTTTTTCAAAAAATGTGGACAAAGGAGGCAGGTCTGAGTGATGTAATTTGAGAATGGCTGGCTTTGAAAATAAAAGAGAACCACAAACTGAGGTCCCCTAGAGACTGGAAAGGACAAGAAAGTGGATTTTCTAATAGAGCTTTCAAATAAGAAGGAAGTCCCACAGACATCTTAATTTTAGCCCAGTAAGACTCATTTCAGACTTCTGACCTTAGGAACTATAAGCTAAATTTGTATTTTTTTAAGCCACTAAATTTGTGGCAATCACAGCAGCTATTGAAAACTAATATGTAAATAAGATTATGCTTTATTTTTGTATATTGACTTTGTATCCAATATCTTTGCTAAATTTTTAGTATTAATAGTTTATAGATTTCTTTGAGTTTTCTACATATACAATTATGTCATTTGTGAAATCATTTAGACTTACTCTTCCTTTTCAGTATCTGTGCCCTTTATATCTGTTTGCTGCTTAATTGAATTCACTAAAATTTAATACAGTGTTGACTAAAACTAATGAGAATAAATATTCTTTTGCTCCTGACCTTAAGAGAAAGGCTTTCCCTATTTTAGCCTTTAAGAATGATATTGGCTGTAGGTTCTTGTTATCCACCATACTGAGTAAATTTCCTACTATTCCCTAATTCTGTGACGGTTTTCAGGTATTTCGTTTTTTACTTCCTTACCCACCTAAAATAGCTTTTTAATGTAATTATGTAATTATTATGTATTGAATTACAATGTCTCATTATATAACTATTACATAATTCAACCATCATGAGGGTCAAAGTCATGGTTCTCCAGAGATGTTTAACGTTTACTTCTGCCAACTTAACGTGAACATCTTGGCTCAGCATTTCTCAGACTAGCCTGAGGACTCCACCAAGATTAAAACTTTTCAGACTCATTTTGTTTACATTTAATGGTTTATCATAAAGCATTTTACAAAATATACAAATGACAGATGAACAGGAAGAGATGCCCAGGGCAAGGCCTGTGGGAAAGGGTGGAGTGACTGTGCTCTCCAGGGTGCAACCCTTCCAGCACTTCCTGTGTTCAGCAACCCAGGAGGTCTTCAGAAAAGACCTTTTGCCACCTAGAGCCCACGCTGAGATTCACTAGCTTCCTAGCTGTCTCTCACTGCAGAAGGGCAAATTTGACCCAGTTAACACCTTTGCTAAGGGTGGTACCTCTGAACTGTCCAGCTCTGGGGACTGCTCTCATTTCCAATTCCTGGCACAGTAGACCCCATGCTGCTCCTTCAACTCCCGAAGTCTCTTGCTTGCGAAATGAGCAACCTCTTCCCCAAGAGAAATGAAGAATCAACTGATCAGCTATAACACGCCTGGTCTTTGTTTTCCTTTTTGGTCTTTGAGGATCTCTCTTCCAATCCCCCCCCCCCCAAGCTCAGCTACACATTTCCAAAGACTTTTTTTTTTTTGATGAATTTTTTTTTTTTTTTGGTACCGGGGATTGAACTCGGGTCCTTGCACTTGCAAGGCAGGCCACCGAACCGCTGAGCTAAATCCCTGGCCCAACATTTATTTCATTTTAAGTGTGTGTCAAGAGTCTTTTCAAGGAGTCTCATCTGCCATGTTGCCCAAGATAGAAGTCCTATTACCATCTTGGTGTGAAAAACACTCTAGGAATATGAATACTCCCCCCATCAAAACCACTAAAATAGCATATCTAGAAAGACAAGTTTACAAGACTCTTGGAAAATGGCTTTTTAAAGAAAATGACTCAGAGATGGATTAGTTGCTCTTATGGACAACAAAAGGATAACTTGAATTGTATTTCTCATTTTGCTTCAGACAAAATGGAGGAGGGTAAGAATGGCACCAGCTGGTGTTGAGTCGGGAGGAACATTTACTCAGGACACAGCTAGCTTCCTTCATGCCTGGCTGTAGGCCACAAGCCCTGCTGCAGGCTCTCTGGTACTTCCCGCCAAGTGGGGACACCCATGCAGGAACCCGTCTGCTATATGTATATATTGCGCTTGGCCTTTGGTCACCTCACCAGAGGCCAGCTTCACTGCTCAGCTGATTCCTTCAGATCCAGTTTCCTTCTAGCCTGATCCAGGTTCTCATTTCCCCTTTGCCCTTTGGAAGGTTCCCAGCATGCCTCAAAGCAGAGGCTTTAGGGACTGTAACCTTGAGGAGACAAAATCAAAAACTGCAGCACTTGGCCTCCTGGCTTCTGGCCTTCCTTTCTCTGGGCATATTTTTGTGAGCGTGCACACATTACATCCTGGATGTTCCCATTGTCCTTGGTTATTTGAAGAAAACCCCAAAGTCTTACATCAATACTGTATAGAGGTGACTTTTGCTTCTCCCCAACATTAACAAAATACATGATGTCACAAAAAGGTCTGCTATTTTTTCCTCTCATCCAACATATATCTGCCATACCCTGATATTCCCAGTATAGACTGCCAAGCATGTATTCCCCCAACCTCTTCAAAAAAGTCAGTCAGTTGATTAAAAAAAAAAAAAAAAAGAAGTCAGTCAGTTGATATAGGAAGGGACTAAAGCAGCAGGTGTTTATTTTGTTTTTATAATGATACTTTTAAAAAGTGATCTGTGTCCCCATTTGTGTGTTTAAATAGTATTTTTATTGAAAATTGGACATGATTAGTAGAACAGTAGAGCTGGTGAGAAGAATGAGAGGTAGATATAGGTAGATATAGAAGGAGAATATTGGATATGGGAGGTGAAGATGGAGAAGTCAAGATACAGTCCTGTTTTTTGCTTGTTTGTTTTTGTTTTTATTTTTTTGCCATAAGCAACTAGTAGTTCAACAGCAGCCATTCAACAGCAATCAACTCTATGTCAGCACAGGGCTGGGCCCTGGGAATAGAAGAAAGAACAATACAGACGAGATCCTGGAATAGCAGAGAAGACAGACATTAGGCAAATAAGTGAATCATGGTAAAAAGGCGAAGCTCTAATCACTCTGAAAGCAGACAAACTTGTTTTTCCTTGTGAGAGGAAATTAAATGGAGGTGTGATTCTTGAGAGCAGAAACGGTAGAAATAGGAAGCAAGAACACGAGATAAGAAAGGGGCTGGAGGTGCTGGATTCTACAGTAATTTGTTTCCCTTCGTTGGATCTCATTTTTCTTAGTCTTAAAATAAGAAGTTGGTTTCTCCACTTCAGGAGGACAGGGGCTTATCTGATTCTCAGTATCCTTTGGTTAGTACTGGTCTTGGTTTGGTTTCCTGGCAGAGTTTGTTTGTTAGTTTGTTTGTTTTTGTATCAGGGATTGGATTTAGGACGTTGCGCTTGTGAGGCAGGCGGTGGCACCACGGAGCTAAATCTCTGGCCTGGTCTTGGTTTGGAAAAGTACTAATTAGAAGGATGGATGGATGGATGGATGTCTAGGAGGGCAGGTGGCAGGATGAACTTGGCTTCTCCAAGTGAGAAAACCTGAAATTCTGTGCTTCCCTCGGAGTCACCTGGGGGCGGCGGGGTGGGGGGAGCCTGGAATCTCAACAGCCTTGTTACTTTCCCGCCAAATAGGTTTGGTTTGCGGAGCATGCGCAGCAGCTCAGGAGGCGCGCGGCGCACTGGGACTTGTAATCTTGCCTCGGAGTTCAGGGTTTCTTTTCCCTTTCCCTATAGCCGGAATCCCTCCGCGTGGACCCTCAAGGTTCTGAATCCTTCCACGGCTTCCCTCCCTCAAGCTAAGGACCACGGAAGCATCTGGATCTGTTCCATTCCTACCTTCGGACGAGACATGACTCAGTTCTCCAGGGCCGGATCCAAACTGCCACTGGGTTCCTCGAGACCCTGTGCGTCATGTTGCCAAGGCAACGAAGAGGCTCTCGGCTCGGATTGGATGAGCCAAGGACACGCCTCTCGGTGGAGTACGCAGGCTCCGCCCACCAGAGCCCCAGGAGGCTCTTGGCGGTCCCGGACTTGAGGTTTCCTGGACGTCCTTCTCAGTCTTTCTCTCCCAGCCCAGCTTTTCTGGACAGACGTTGGCTGAGGCCGCTGCAGGTGCTTATTGCCCAGAGCGCCCTTCAGCAATACTTCCTTGATGCAAGAGCGCTCATCTGAAAAGTGGTTTCTCTTTGGTTAAATAGAGTGGTACCAAGATTCCTTATTCCAGGAAGGTCCCGCAGCCTCTGCGTCATTCGGTCATTTAGGAATGTGGCTGGTCATCTTTGCTCTCTCTCAATCTCTTTCTAGTTCTTAAGTACCACCTATGCCAAAACTCACCTCGATTCCTGCTCCTGCTTCTGCTCAACCTACTAGTGTCCACCAGGCCCAATCCATCCCAATTCATTCTCTGCCCTGCAGCTAAAGAACATTTTCCAACAAAAATCCAATCATTTCTGCCCTACATATATAAACTTTCCCTGCTTCTTCATCACCGTTGAGATGATGCTAGGATGGAAGTCATCATTGGGAATTTGCCAGCCTTATCTGCCCTACCATTTGTCCCCTGCTTTTCCTATTCCAGTGCCCTTTTAGTTACTGGCCTGACCCTCATTTCCCATCTCCCACGCGCTTATGTACACACATATCCCTGTTAAACTTGGGGTTCTGTTTACTGTTGGCTTGCTTCATCTTCTCTGGCTGATCTCCACTTGCATTTTTGCTCAGGAAAACCTTTTCTGACTATTCATTCCTCTCCTCCAGACAGATATCTCCCCATAAGCACTAAGAAAGAAAACATTTTATTAATTTGCCACTGTGCTCTCAGAACTTAATATAATGCCTGACACTTGGCAGATAGCCAACAGTATCTAGTTAATGAATAAATAAACAAAAACATTAATTAAATGGATAGTTACAGACTATGAACAAAAACACAGGAAGCCCAAGATGTATACATACCCAAAAGAGTTGAAACAGGTACTGAAAAAATTTACACATACATGTTCATAGCAGCACTATTAACAATAGCCAAAGGTGGAAACGACCCAACATCCATGGAGAGAGTAAATAATTTGCAATATATAAATATATAAACTACTCTTCATCCATGAACAGAAATGAAGTCCTGAGATATGCTGATATGTGAAGTACTAATGCTAATACGTAGACAAACACAAAAACATTTTACAAGCCTGGCATGGTGGCACATACCTGTAATCCCACCTACTTGAGAGACTGAGGCAGGAGGATTGTGAGTTTGAGGCCAACCTGGGCAGTTAATGAGATTCTGGATTAAAATAAATAATAAAAAGAGCTGATATCGCTCAGTGGTAGAGCACTCCTGGGTTCAATACATGTATGTGTGTACTAAGAAAAGACACACAAAGTGCCCTGAACTGTGCATATGTATGGTATCTCAAAGGATTGGTATCCAAAGAACTACAGACAATTAAGAAAAAGATACCCCGACCCAGACTTTTACAAAAGAAAAATGGTCAAAGAATATCAGTAGGGAAATTTTAGCAGAAGAAATTCAAATTGTCAATAAGGCAAACTATGCATGGAAATTTAAACAATTGTAAGACATAATTTGAAATATATCCATTGTGAAAAAATAAAAACATATCAGTGCTTTGGTGAGGCCAAGTGTCAGTGAGGCTTGGGGAAACAGGAATCTTTACATACCACTGATACACTGATGCTTTGGAGGGCAACTTGACATTAGCTCCTAAAGTTGAGAATGCACACTTTACAGACCAGCGGTCTACTGTTAGATTCCATCGGCCCACTGAATACAGCTGCACAGCTCCATGCAGTTCCCTTCACCTGTAGCTAATATGCCCAGCGACACCTTCTTAAAGAAACTTTGCACCTGTCCATAGGACATACATGGAAGAATGTCCTTTGTAACATTTTTTATAATAGTGGAAAATGTTTAAAACAATCTAAATATCCACTATAAAGGTGATAAACAAATTAAATGTGATATATTCTAATTATAAAATACTACACAATGATAAAATGATCCTGCTCTTTAACATGGAAATATCCCCCCAAAGCCTATCATTGAATGAATAAAAGAAAGTTGTAGAAGGATAAGCTTTATGACTTTATAATTTATGTTAACTATATCCATATATATGAGAGTATTTTTATATTCTCGCAGATATATAGGTTTTAAAGTTTTAAAACATGATTTGAAAGATACACATCAAGTTCATGAGGGTGGTTACCTCTATCTAGGGAGAGTGTGAAAGAAGTGGACAGAGGACAAAGGACCACATCGAGTCTATTTAGAATGTTTTGTTTTGTTTAAACAACACAATTGAAGCAAGTAAGTTGAAGTATCCTCATCTGGATTTAAGATTTTTTCCCCCAAATAAAAAACTCATAAGTCATACTAACAGTATGATAGAAGAAGTTTAAGGTGTTTTGGAAATGCATCACAGTGGGGTCTAAACAAGCCTAACCGGGGAGAGTAAAGATTTCCAGGAGGAAACGAGAGGTAGCCCAGGAAAGAGGTTTGGAAGAGCATTATGGGCAGACAGAATGGTTCGTGCACAGTCAGAGAGAGTGCAAAGCATGCCTGAGACAATGGATGCACATCAGCCACCAGGAAAGTGGTGAAGAGGGGAAAGATGAAGCTGGTGAACTTGTGAGTTTGCACGTTTCCTTTGTTACAGAGGTGGAAACAGAGTCCTACTGAGGAAAGTAGAACTCAGGATTCCTAACTCCCTGTCAACTGTCCCATGACAGTAATAATGACAATGATACTAACAACAACAATGCACCATGTGCCATTCTCTATATGAAGCACTTTAAATATGTCCTCCTATTTAATCATACTACAGACCCATGGGGATATTTTCCACCCTTTTTAAAGATGATAAAACTGAGGTACAGAGAAGTTAAGCAACTTGCCTATGGCTGTGTCCCTAGTACCTTCCGTGCAGAGGGGAGTCAATAAGTATTTGCTGAATAATTTGGTGTTGATGAGGACCCTGTGCACTGAGTGAGATAACCGAGATAGGCTGCTCCAGGTACTCTGTGAACTTGAGGAAGGAAGAAGGGTAAAGAAAAATTTTATTTTCCTCCAATCACTGCATTTCGATGGACTGTTATCTCTGTGTCCTCTTGTGGGTCAATGCTCTCCCAAAGTGATCGACTATTATAGATGGAAGGTGACAGCTGGAGAAACAAAGCTGTTCAGTCCCAGAGCAGTTGTCTGGTTTCGATATCTTACATGCTTGATCCTAGTAACCAGGAAGGATGGACTTTCTTTAACTTCCTGAAAAATACAGACAGAGTCTAATGGGACCCCAAGAGGACTGTCCCAGGGTCACTCAGCAAATCAGAAATGAACAGGCCCTTGAGTCTCGGTCTTCCAGTACTCCTGCCTCTAACTCCTTTTGTAGTTTCCTAACCGAGTCCCCACACCTCCCTGATTTCTTGGGAGCTCTGACAGCAGTTACATCTGGTCCCCCTAGAGCCTTCCCAGACGGCAGCTTCCTCAAAGGGGCCAGACTAGATGAAGTGATGAGAAGATGGATGGGTGGATGGACAGAAGGAAGAAAGAAGGAAGGGAGAGAGGGAGGAAAGGAAGGGATGAATCAGTGAATGGATAGATGGGTGGGTGGATGGATGGATGGATGGACGGGCAGACGGAAAGGAGAATGGATGGGTGGATTGTGGGTATGGGGGCGTGTGACTGGGTGAACAGGAGATTGAGTGAGAAAGGAAGAAGGCTGGCTGGTAAGATGGCTGCATGGGAGCCGGTGTATAGAAGGAAATTACCCACTTTTCTTGCTGCAAGCAGGACCTGAGGCGCAGAATGCCCTTAGCGATCATAGTCCAGTACCCATCACAGTTTCACTAGAAAACCGAGGCAGGATAGGCTGGTGCTTGGCCTCAGGAAAGCAGGGAGGTCCAAGCAGAGCTGGAACTAGGGTCTGAGCGTCGGGGCTCCGCAGTGGGGCTTTCCGACGCCCCCATCCCCGCGCCTGACAGTGCCAGGGTGGGGGCAGCGCCCCGCCCCCATTCTGGAGGTGGCTCCCACGCGG